GGATTACTTTTTTGGGGAAGTAATCAGTAATTAGTTACTGATTACTTTTTTCAAGTAACTTGACCAACACTGTTTGTGACACAGTGAAGATAAGAAACCAACTTTCCCCAACAAACCTATAGAAATGCTTCTTTAATGTATTTTACAGCTTTAAACAAAGAACCAACAGCACAAAGCACAAGACAGCTACCTGTCAAACTGGCTGGTGGACTGGAAAAACAGTCTTTGTGAGAACTTTGCTGGCACATGTTTAAACCAGTCATGCTGAATAACTAGTTTAAACCCTCCAATACACATTTATAATACTCCTAAGTCAAATGTATCAGCAGCTACAGGGCAGTGTCCTTCCAGAAGTCACACTGTGTGAATCACTTCCAATTTGACCACGTGAAAAGCTGACACACAAACCCACAGGCTTAGCTCACACAGTTATTAATAGAGGCAGCTTTAAGGATTTGGAAGATGTGCACCTGACAGTTAATTGTACACCAACCACAACTTCTGATTATTTGTTAATCTGTTGTGACCATATCTGATGGGACCAAGACAGGATTCACTGAGTGGAAGTCAGGATGTCATGATTATTACTCATCTCACCCACTGAACTTATACCTGAGCCACGTAAAAACATAAAACACATTTAATGCCTCATGCAAATGCTGCTTGTAAGGCTACAGCCAAATCATGTTTGGACTTGGCAGCTGAAGTATCAGGATATGCGGATATTTGAGGTTAAAAGGGGAAGTTAAGACAAATGGAACGAAAATAGTAGACAGACAAACAAACCAACCAACTAGTGAGCATTAATAGCACCAACAGAAGTATGTATTGCACCAGAGATTTACAGCCACAAGCACAGATAGTGAAAGCAGACACCTTTATTCTCTAGGGCCCTCTAATGGTGCACATGCAAGGATTCCCCAGAAAAGCAGGCATGGTGCCCGCGGCAGACAGGAAGCAAACAAGCAAACAGATGCAAAATGGTGAGTGATATTTGCTCCCTCTAATCCTTTCATGATCTCCTAAACTAAGAGATTAGCCACAATCAGGGAACCAGGTGTAATAGAACAGCTGTGAACAAAGCTGGGAAAAATATTGCTGTGGCCGCGGCGGTGCGTCACTGTTTGGTTTGTTTGTTTTGCGGACAGTGACTGTTTATAGAGGTTCTTAAATTACAGCTGGGGCAACAGCATCTTTGACACACCGCAGGTCCCCAAGTGAACAATATAGGCCTAGTTTATCTGGGATTTAACAGTTTATGGGTTATTTGGGACATCTTTACGTCCGATACAATGATGTCAATACTAGCAACAAAGTTATGTTACACTTCTAACTGCTGGTAAATTGACCATTTTCCACTAGCAGGTAATCAGCTTTAATTCAGCACAAAGGGACTGTGAGACAGGAACAAGTGGGTTTATAGACACGTTTATAAAAAACCTTCTTTTTATACTGAATTCTAGTCATATATTTATAAATTACACTCATACACTCATCCAACTGAGTCAAGTGGTTTCTCACATCAGAATCAGCAGCTCAGCAGCAACAAACTAGTTCTGCCTTTTATGCTACACTGCTACATCCATGCTACTGAAAACCTGTCCTTTAATCGAATCATTAGCAAACAGATAACATATTCATTCTTTCTTTATGGCTCTAGAGTTCTGTCCAATGCTCCCATTTAACTGTGCTGATGCAGGCCACCCCAGGCTATTGATTATATTCCTGTAGACATAAAAAGAGTGAGGGACAGCACATTACTCAATATGTGGGTGGAGGAGAGGAACAGTTCAATAAGCCAGAGGGGAGAATAGTGATGGGGTTTCCCTTTGAATACTGGGAGAGACCATGCAGGTGCACGATCAGCATCCTTCGTCACAGCTGTCTAACAGAGGGGTAGTAGAACTCACGGGGTTTTAAATTAAATTAAAGCTTCCAAACATCCTTCTCCTGTTCTCCCTGACTTTTATTGCACATTCAAGTTTAAAGTTTCAGTCTTTATTCTCATTCTTTTATACAAAGTTTCATACTTTGTACAATACTACAATGAAATTGTAGTAGTATT